TTTTTATAGGCTAGGCTTTACATAAGACAGGAGAAAGCCAGCTGAGCAGAAGCTGCAAGAAAGCAGGCTTGTGTTCACTCTCTCTCCCCCTGACTGTGGATATGGATAGACTAGCTGCATGAAGTTCTGCCTTGATTGTCCCTCAAAGATAATTGAACCTGGAATTGAAGGCAGATTAATCCTTCCTCCACTAAGTTATTCCTTTTTAAGATATTTTATCACAATGGAAATGAACCTAGAACACTAAAACAAGCCATCATATAACCCCCCTTTGTCAGTCCCGAGTATATACATAAAGGAATCAAAGTCAGCATATGGAAGAGATATGTGGACATTATTGTGAATCTGTGCACAAAGCCCACTTATGAAAATAGCCTAGGTGTTTATCAATGGAGACATGAATTTCTCAGTGTGGTGCATAGATGCATTATATTTACTAATATAAGTTTATTCATAAAAAAAACCCCAAAATATCACTTACGGGAATATATATGTATCCAGAAATAGTCCTGTTAATTAAAATAATCCAGACACAAAAAGACAAATACTATGTTTTCTCTCATGTGTTGAGTCTGTATTTGAAGGGGGCATAAAAATGTAATGATGAGTTAAATGAGAAATTTTAAAATGTAAATAAATTTCACAGAGAGATGTGACAAGAGATGAAAACAGGTATAGATTTTTTATTACTATATTTTATTACTTTAAAAAATACCAATCCAATTCCCACTCTCTCCCCTCCTCCCACTCCCTCCACACAGTCTCCCACCCCACCGCCCTCCAATCCTAAGAGAAGGCAAGGCTCCCTGCCCTGTGGAAAGTCCAAGGCCCTCCTTACCACTTCTAGGCTGAGCAAAGTAGACATCCAAAGAGAATAGGATCCAAAAAGGCCAGTACATGCAGTAGAGACAAATACCAGTGCCACTTTCAGTGGTCCCTCAGTCTGCCTCAGCTATCAACCACATTCAGAGGGACTAGTTTGATCCCATGCTCATTCACTCCCAGTCCAGTTGGAGTTGGTGAGCTTCCATTAGCTCAGGCAAACTGTCTCAATGGGTGAACCCCTTATGGTCTTGACTTCCTTGCTCATACTTACTCCTTCCACTCTTCAACTGAACCTTGAAAGCTCAGTCCAGTGTTCCGAGGGTCTCTGCCTCTGTTTCCATCTGTTGTTAGACAACGGTTCTATGATGATATTTAAGATAATCATCAGTCTGACTACAGGACAAGGCCAGTTCAGGCACCCTCTCCTCTATTACTTAGAGTCTTAACTGGGGTCATCCTTGTGGATTCTTGGGAATTTTTTGAGAGCCAGGTTTTTTGCTAACTCCATAATGGCTCCTTCAACCAAGATATCTCTTTCTTTGCTCTCATATCTGTCCTTCCTCCACCTCGACTATCCCATTCCCTCAAGTTCTCCTCAACCCTCCCCTTCTCCCCTTCCTTCTACCCCCTGCCCACATGGTCCCAATTTTGTCAGGAAATTTTATCTGTTTCCAATTTCCAGGTAGGTCTATATATGTTTTTCTTTGGGTTCTCCTTGTTACTTAGCTTCTCTAGAATCATGAACTATAGGCTCACTGTCCTTTGTTTATGGCTAGTATCCATTTATAAGTGAGTACATGCCATATCCATTTTGGGGGATCTGGGTTACCTCACTCAGGATAGTGTTTTCTAATTTCATTCATTTGCATGCAAAATTCAAGATGGCAATTATTTTTTAACGTTGAATAGTATTCTAATGTGTAAATGTGCCACACTTTCTTCATCCATTCTTCAGTTGAGGGGTATCTAACTTGTTTCCAGATTCTGGCTATTACAAATAATGTGGCTATGAACATAGTTGGATAAATGCTTTTGTAGTATGATTGAGTATCTTTTGGATATACGCCCAAGATTGGTATTGCTGAATCCTGCGGTAGGTTGATTCCCAATTTTCTGAGAAACTTCCATACTTATTTCCAAAGTGGTTGTACAAGTTTGCATTCCCACCAGCAATGGATGAGTGTTCCTCTTACTCTACATCTTCTCCAGCATAAGCTATCATTAGTGTTTTTGATCTTAGCCATTCTGACGTTATAAGATGGTATCTTAGAATTGTTCTTACTTGCATTTCCCTGATAGCTAAGGAAGTTGAACATGTCCTTAAGTATCTTTTGGCCATTTGAAATTCTTCTGCTGAGAAATCTCTGTTTAGTACAGTACACCATTTTTTTAATTAGGTTATTTAGAATGTTAATGTCCGATTTCTTGAGTTCTTTATATATTTTGGAGATCAGTTCTTTGTCTGATATAAGTTTGGTGAAGATATTTTTCCATTCAGTAGGCTGCCTTTTTGTCTTATTGACTATGTGTTTTTGCTTTACAGAAACTTCTCAGTATCAGGAGGTCCCATTTATTTATTGTTGCTTTTATTGTCTCTGCTACTGGGGTTATATTTAGGAAGTGGTCTTTTGTGCCCTTGAACTGAAGGCTACTCCTGACTTTCTCTTCTATCAAGTTCAGTGTGGTCATATTGATATTGATGTCTTTAATCCATTTGGACTTGAGTTTTGTCCATGGTGATATATATGAATCTAATTTCATTCTTCTACAGGTTGACATCCAGTTATGCCAGCACCATTTGCTGAAGATGCTTTCTTTTTTCCATTGTTTTAGCTTCTTTGTCAAAAATCAGGTGTTCATAGGTGTGTTGATTAATATCCAGGTCTTCATTTTGATTCCATTGGTTAGAGGGGATTTCCATCCTTGACATCAAGCTCTATTACAGAGCTACAGTAATCAAAACATCTTGATATTGCCGGGCGGTAGTGGCGCACGCCTTTAATCCGAGCATTCAGGAGGCAGAGGCAGGCGGATCTCTGTGAGTTCGAGGCCAGCCTGGTCTACAAGAGCTAGTTCCAGGACAGGAACCAAAAGCTACGGAGAAACCCTGTCTCGAAAATTCAAAAAAAATATCTTGGTATTGGCATAAAAACAGGTATGGATATTATTACAGTATAGAATATGCAAGTTTGAAAGTGAAATGATGAGACCCATTATTTTAAACAACTAATATATTTTAATAAAAAGTAAACTAAGGTCTGGCATGTAGCTCAGTGTTAGAGTACATTCCTAGCATTTGTGAGGATTGGGTTTAAGTCTCAATTTTTCAAGTATTTCATCACCCATAGATGAAGAATTGTTGATGCAGGAGGTCTCCAAGAAGTAAAATTGGTGTTATAAACTCCAATGTTATTAACTCATAAACCTATGAGGCTATAAAGGATTTACTCACAAACCCACTGCCCTAGTTGGGTTTCTTATTCCTATGAAGAAATACCATAACCAAAGCAACACTACTAAGTGAAAACATTTAATTGATGGGGCTCACTTATGTTTTAGAGGTTCAGTCCAGTATCATTATCTTGGGGAGCATGGCAGCATGTTGGCAAATGTGGTACTGGAACTGAGAGTCTTATATCATCTTGACTCAGAAGCAACAGGAAGTCAACTAAAGAAACACTGAGGGAAGTTTGAGCAGGAGACCTCAAGGCCCACCCCCACAGTGACACACTTGCTTCAACAAGGCCACACCTCCCATCAGTGCCACTCCTTTTGGGGTCATTTTCTTTCAAGCCAGTCCACTTGATTATAAAATATGAAATGACACGAAGAGCTTAGCTACAGGAATGTCACCTCCAGTGGCCATGGCAGATAATAGTGCACTAGCCAAGCTTGTTAGACACTGTAAGAAAGAATAGTGTATACAATAATTGAAGTGTGGTGTTGCAAAGGAAGTCTCTGCTAATGTTTATTCACCAAGATTGACTTCTTAGGAGACAACCTTTACTTACTACAAGCCATTAGGTCCATCCTTAGACCAAAGAATATGTCTCTACCATCAACACAAGGGGGCAGCTCAGGGTCACAGCCACCAGTAAGTCCTTGTCTCCCATTAAGTTCCCTCTGTTCCTATAAGACAAAGCATAATTCTGTCAGGCGAGCAAGATGAACCTGGGCAACAACCGTTTAAAAAGAGCAATTCTGGTGCACTTACAGAATTATGGAAATATATTCGCTCTATAAATCTCCCATCTACCCAAGTGAGCAGACATGCAGTCTCAGTTTAGACTGTAGAACCAGAGTAAGCTGGACTTGAAAGAGACTTAAGGTTGAAGTGTGTTGAAATCAGGAGTCTAAACCTATATAAGCTAGTAGAACTCTCTGGTCCAGGACAACTCCTATGAGCACCAGCCAGAGCTGTATGCAAGTTATATTATTAAAGAGATTTTCTTAACTAATCTCTAAGTGTGTAGAATGGTTTCTTACTAGAAAGGCAAATTAATTCTACAACACGATAGCAGTAAATGGCTTCTGAGAGAGAAAAGCAAGTTTTTCCTAGAGAATCAGGCCCCTGATAAGTTATCAAGTCTATACATATACAAACAACACTGAATGCATTCAGTAGGGTGTGTGTGTGTGCTCGTAAAACAGTAAGAATTAAGAAGAGAACTTGAATTTGGCAGGTAGGGAACATGAGGGGAATTAGAAATGGGAGCAGGAGGAAATTATGTAAATACAGCATTCATGTATGAAATTCTAAAAAAAATGAAGGTTAAATTAAAAAGAAAGTATTCTATGAGATAAACGAAGATTCAAAACTTGCAGTAGTCTGTCTTCACCCATGTTCAACAAGCAAGGAGATTTTGGCCCACTCTGTGCAGGACAGAGATGAATTTTGAACACATTTGCCGTCTTCCTCTTTGTCTGCCGGTGAGCCCTCTCACAGCATTGGTGCGGAAGGCCCTCTCCTGGGACTATCGATTCCTCCTCAGACACAGCTGAAATCCTCTTTAGGCGCAAACAAACTCTGATATTTAAAGACAGGGAGCTCCTGCTTCACTTTCCTTCTGTTGCCATCTGCTAAGCTAAGAGAAAACAAAACCAACCCAGGAGTTTGTTTTCGCTGCCGTGTGTCCACAAATTTTGGAGAGACTGAAACTTGTGTTTTTTGTTAGACTCTTTCACAGGACTGATCAACATCCTGACAGACATTATTTGGCGATTCACTGGAGATTTCATGGCCCCCGACCTGGTTTGCCGAGTCGTCCGCTATTTTCAGGTATGGAAATCGCCTCCCCAGTGGGATGAGCTACACTGAAGCCAACATCAGCTCTGGGATAGCATGAAGGAAGTAACTGCTAAACCTGTGTTCTTGTGCAACCCGTCACTCCTTCCTTCCTAGGTGAAAAGAAAGGAATTCTAGGTGAAATTCTAAAATTTCTAAAAATGGGTGGTTTTTTTTTGCTACAAATAATGCATATGCAAAGCAACAATTAAAATAATAAAGGTATCACTGAGTGAAAACAGTGGTAAGCAGTAACCCTTGTGATACGCTATAGCTAGATAAATCCCCAAAGTTCTGTCAATGCTTACTCTTTTATCACTCGGACACTTCTTCCAGGAAAATGTTAACAAATGACTACAAAATAAATATTAACCACCTGATTACCACATAAACTTACTTTCTCAAATATCTCTTAGCATTTGAATACTTTCTCTAAATTATTGTCCTTCTTCAAATATTTTATGACTAATACTATGTCTTATGCTTTGCTACGATCTACATTTAAATCCATACCCATAGGGCCTGTTGATATGCTTTAATATAAACTAGATATATGGATAATATGCATATGTTATTTACAGTATAGCATGGGATGATTTGAATAGGCCTGGGAAGAAGGTTTTGTGGGTAAAGTGGTTACAATGCATGCATGAGGAACTTACTGGGTTTGTATCCCCAACATCCCCATAAAAGCTGGGCAAGGTCATGTGTATCTGTAACCCCATCAGTGGGGAGACAGAGACCAGCCAACCCCTGAAGTTAACTGGCACCAGACAGTCTAGCTAATCGGTAAGCGGTGGGTTCAATTAGAAACCCTGTGCTTCTAAACTTACAATTAAATCCCATTACTCCATTTCTAGTGCAGTTCTTCAGGTCTAAATTATTTCAGATTTACAGAAGAAAAACAGCATATCTGGGAAACATTGCCCTCTTAGAGTCTACTTGTTAGGGATTTTAGGATATCTGTATACATCTTCAGAAATAAGATTATGGTTTCATTCATTTTATTATTTTTGAGTCTTGGTAACGATTGTTTCATTGTAGAAAAACAAATAGCTGTGATGTTAATATTCTTTGTGCTCTGAATATGACTTTAAAAGGAGTCGTTGCAGAGAGATGGTGTTTTTTTAATTTATTTATTTATTAAAGATTTCTGTCTCTTCCCCACCGCCGCCTCCCTTTTCCTTTCCCCTCCCACAATCAAGTCCCCCTCCCTCGTCAGCCCAAAGAGCAATCAGGGTTCCCTGCCCTGTGGGAAATCCAAGGACCACCCACCTCCATCCAGGTCTAGTAAAGTGAGCATCCAAACTGCCTAGGCTCCCACAAAACCAATAGGTGCAGTAGGATCAAAAACCCATTACCATTGTTCTTGAGGTCTCAGTAATCCTCATTGTCCGCTATGTTCAGCGAGACCGGTTTTAACCCAGGCTTTTTCAGACCCAGGCCAGCTGGCCTTGGTGAGTTCCCGATAGAACATTCCCATTGTCTCAGTGTGTGAGTGCACCCCTCCCGGTCCTGAGTTCCTTGCTCGTGCTCTCTCTCCTTCTGCTCCTGATTCGGACCTTGAGATTTCAGTCCGGTGCTCCATTGTGGGTCTCTGTCTCTGTCTCCTTTCATCGCCTGATGAAGGTTAATGTTCAGGAGGATGCCTATATGTTTTTCTTTGGGTTCCCCTTCTTATTTAGCTTCTCTAAGAACCCGAATTATATGCACAATGTCCTTTATTTATGGCTAAAAATCAAATATGAGTGAGTACATCCCATGTTCCTCTTTTTGGGTCTGGCTTACCTCACTCAGGATAGTGTTTTCTATTTCCATCCATTTGCCTGCAAACTTCAAGAAGTCCTTGTTTTTTACTGCTGAGTAGTATTCTAATATGTATATATTCCATACTTTCTTCATCCATTCTTCAATTGAAGGGCATCTAGGTTGTTTCCAGGTTCTGGCTATTACAAACAATGCTGCTATGAACATAGTAGAGCATATACTTTTGTTGTATGATAAGGCCTCTCTTGGGTATATTCCCAAGAGTGGTATTGCTGGGTCCATGGGTAGGTTGATCCCAAATTTCCTGAGAAACCTCCACACTGCTTTCCAGAGTGGTTGCACAAGTTTGCATTCCCACCAGCAATGGATTAGTGTACCCCTTTCTCCACAACCTCTCCAGCGTAGGCTATCATTGGTGTTTTTGATTTTAGCCATTCTGAGAGGTGTAAGATGGTATCTTAAAGTTGTCTTGATTTGCATTTCCCTGATCGCTAAGGAAGTTGAGCATGACCTTAGGTGTCTTTTGGCCATTTGAACTTCTTCTGTTGAGAGATCTCTGTTCAGCTCAGTGCCCCATTTTATAATTGGGTTGATTAGCCTTTTACGGTCTAGTTTCTTGAGTTCTTTATATATTTTGGAGATCAGACCTTTGTCAGTTGCAGGGTTGGTGAAGATTTTCTCCCAGTCAGTGGGTTGCCTTTCTGTCTTAGCAACAGTGTCCTTTGCTTTACAGAAGCTTCTCAGTCTCAGGAGGTCCCATTTATTCAATGAGGCCTTTACTGTCTGTGCTGCTGGGGTTATACGTAGGAAGTGGTCTCCTGTGCCCACGTGTTGTAGAGTACTTCCCACTTTCTCTTCAATCAGGTTCAGTGTATTTGGATTGATATTGATGTCTTTAATCCACTTGGACTTGAGTTTTGTGCATGGTGATAGATATGGATCTATTTTCATTCTTCTACAGATTGACATCCAGTTTTGCCAGCACAATTTGTTGAAGATGCTCTCTTTTTTCCATTGTATACTTTTAGCTCCTTTATCGAAAATCAGGTGCTCATAGGTTTGTGGGTTAAAGTCAGGGTCTTCTATTCGATTCCATTGGTCAATTTCTCTGTTTTTATGCCAATACCAAGCTGTTTTCAATACTGTAGCTCTGTAATAGAGTTTGAAGTCAGGGATGGTAATGCCTCCAGACGTTCCTTTATTGTATAAGATTGTTTTGGCTATCCTGGGTTTTTTGTTTTTCCATATAAAGTTGATTATTGTCTTCTCCAGATCTGTGAAGAATTTTGATGGGATTTTGATGGGGATTGCATTGAATCTATAGATTGCTTTTGGTAGAATTGCCATTTTTACTATGTTGATCCTCCCAATCCAAGAGCAAGGGAGATCCTTCCATTTTCTGGTGTCCTCTTCTATTTCTTTCTTCAAAGACTTAAAGTTCTTGTCAAATAGATCTTTCACTTCCTTGGTCAGGGTTACCCCAAGATATTTTATGCTCTTTGTGGCTATCGTGAAAGGTGATGCTTCTCTGATTTCCCTCTCTGTTTCCTTATACTTAGTGTATAGGAAGGCAATTGATTTTTTGGAGTTGATCTTGTATCCTGCCACATTACTAAAGGTGTTTATCAGCTGTAGGAGTTCTTTGGTAGAGTTTTTGGGGTCGCTTATGTACACTATCATATCATCTGAAAATAACGAAAGCTTAACTTCTTCCTTTCCAATACGAATCCTTTTGATCCCCTTATGTTGTCTTATTGCTATTGCTAGAACTTCAAGCACTATATTGAAGAGGTATGGAGAAAGTGGACATCCTTCTCTTGTTCCTGATTTTAGTTGGATGGCTTTGAGTTTTTCTCCGTTTAATTTAATGTTAGCTGTCGGCTTGCTGTAAATAGCTTTTATTATATTTAGGTATGACCCTTGTATCCTTAGTCTCTCCAATACCTTTATCATAAAGGGGTGTTGAATTTTGTCGAATGCTTTTTCAGCATCTAATGAAATGATCATATGTTTTTTTTTCAGTTTATTTATATGGTGGATTACATTGATAGATATGCGTATGTTGAACCAGCCCTGCATCTCTGGGATGAAGCCTACTTGATCATAATGGATAATTTTTCTAATGTGTTCTTGAATTCGATTTGCCAGTGTTTTATTGAGAATTTTTTGCGTCAATATTCATGAGTGAGATAGGCCTGTAATTCTCTTTCTTGGTTGGGTCTTTGTGTGGTTTTGGTATCAGGGTAACTGTAGCTTCATAAAAAAATTTTTGACAATGACTTTTCTGTTTCTATATTGTGAAATACAGTAAGGAGTATAGGTGTTAGCTCTTCTTGGAAGTTCTGGTAGAATTCTGCATTGAAGCCATCTGGTTCTGGGCTTTTTTTTTGGAGGAGAGATTTTTAATAACAGCTTCTAGTTCTTTGCGACTAACCAGTCTATTTAGATTGTTCACCTGGTCTTGGTTTAGCTTTGGTATATGGTACTTATCTAAAATAATGTCCATTTCTTTTGCATTTTCCAGTTTTGTGGCATACAGGCTTTTGTAGTAAGATCTAATGATTCTCTGAATTTCCTCTGTGTCTGTGGTTATGTTCCCCTTTTCATTTCTGATCTTATTTATTTGTTCTTTCTCTGTTGTTTAATTAATTTGGATAGGGGTTTGTCGATCTTGTTGATTTTCTCCAAGAACCAACTTTTTGTTTCATTGATTTTTTGGACTGTTTTCTGTGTTTCTATTTTGTTGATTTCTGCCCTCAGTTTGATTATTTTCAGTCTTCTACTCCTCCTGGGCACGTCTGCTTCTTTTTGTTTTTAAAGCTTTCAGGTGTGCTATTAAGTCCCCTATGTATGCTTTCTCCGTTTTCTTTAAGTGTGCACTTAGTGCTATGAACTATCCTCTTAGCACTGCTTTCATCGTGTCCCATAGGTTTGATTTTGTTGTCTCTTTATTTTCATTAAATTCAAGGAAGACTTTAATTTCTTCCTTGACCCAGGTGTGGTTCAGTAGTTGGCTGTTCAGTTTCCATGAGTTTGTCGGCTTTCTGGGGGTAGTATTGTTGTTGCCTTCTAACTTAAATCCGTGGACACTGATATGTTTTTGTATCTGTAGAGGTGTCCTTTGCTTCTGAGTATGTGGTCAATTTTTGAGAAGGTTCCATGAGCTGCAGAGAAGAAGGTATATTCTTTCCTTTTTGGGTGGAGTGATCTATAGATTTCTGTTAAGT